ATTAAATCGATCAGTAGAATTGTGTACAAAAAGAGCTTATGTACGTTGCAGTTTATTAGCTCAGTACCAAAAAATTACATATGAGTCTTAATGGAATGTTTTACAAACAGACATAATCAATGTTCTCAAATAATTGTACGCAAAAGTAATTCAAGTCCATTCACGGAATTAAAATATTAATACCCCAAAACCTTTTGAAGAAATAAATGCATACATAGGAGAGAAAATCAAAGATGATCCTAGTTATTAACAAGCTACTGTTCTCAAAGTACTAATGAAAAGAAGAAACGTCCAGTCGATTCGATGAAATGAATTATCCAGAACTGTAGAAAAGTCGTTTTATGCAACCAAGTTTTCACAGTCATTTTTTGACTTATGGCTAATTATGGTTCAAAAAAGTACAGTGTACTTAATTTTGCTATGTCAACGTGTATTTGCTGATAGATTACTCATGTGGGGGCAGCTATGTCACATAGTTTACATAGCACTGTAACCAACTAATTAATGTGCATACTTTTTCAAGGTTTGAAAGAGGTCCAAAAAGTCAGCACACGGATTGATTTAGTGGGATTCTACACATCTCGTGTTTACTTCTCCATATTGAGACTTTGATAATTTAAATGTTTCATCCCCTGATTCCGGATGATTTGCAGTGATTATTATTTCAGTAGGTTTCGAAGTCATTTAAATAATGAGATTTTCGTTTAAGTTATTATACTTTCAGCATAAATTATTGCCAATGTGCATATGAACAAATTAACAACTTTTAATCCTTATTTCTGGTTGTGCGATATGTATACAGTGATGTAGTTAATAAAACGTTCAATGCTTTAAAAAATTCAACATTGGTTTAATGTTTCCAATATAACTGTATGTTACCGTTAAGCCTAAGGATTTAATTGAAAATACTGTTGTACATTTATGCTTTTTATGTTTAGTAAACTTAGAAAAATATTTTTAAAACGAATTACTAATTTACTTATTACCACTGACAATCTTCCACACAATGAGCTATTTGCAGCTTAATAAATGTTGTAGTTGACTTAGTTAAGGTTGCCACAATAAAGACTGTAACTGTGGGCTATGTCACCTTAATATCATTGACACCTATTACAAGTGGTTATTTTGTCTTGTACAATACTAATCGTACTGTGTTATTTGCTCGGTTTGTTATATTTTTATGACACAAGGAAATTTTTGCGCGAAACCTCATCTGCATGATTGTTAATCGAACAAATGTTTCATCGAGAAAGTGTTGTTCAATATTAGTCGTCAATCTATCTAGTTACTTGGCATCTAGCATAGCATTGAAATCAACATCCATTATCCTTATATTAAACCGGAACAGTTAAAATGCTCAAAATCTATTCGCTTTTTACAATATGACTTCATACTAATGTATTCAATTTGTATTGAATAAAATGTATTTAAAAATTCATAATGAAATGAAGTATATTTAACTGTAGTTTCTGTAAGACTGAAAAGTTTCATTAAAAACATCTACCCAATTTATAAACTGAAGCAAATTTTAATTCACTTGGTATTGTTTTACTTGAATCTTCCCATTGATGTTTAGGATTGAAATTGATCAGTCTCCTATTGGCATATGTGCATACTGTGCGTATTGCCTCGATATTGCCTTAACATCAATGGGAAGATCCAAGTAAAACAATATCAAGTGAATTAAACTTCACGCCATTGCACAAGCAAGTGACTATCAAGACTCAGTAGCTAAGTGGATAACGCGATGGCGTTTGAAGCGAACGGTACTGAGTTCGAGTCCCAGAGTGAACTTCAACTCTGAGATGCAGGTACATCCAGCTGACTAGTCCCAAATAGGACGAAACGCGCGTCCTGGATTCCACTGCTAGCCACTATCCATCTTTGCTTATGAAGTAAATTTTATTTAAATAATAAATAAAATTTTCATAAGACATATTTATTCATTTGGGGGGGGTAAAATATAATCTCATCTAATAGATCAGTTGAAATAGTGATCACAAATTACACTAAATTGTTTCATTCATCTTCTGACTTGATCTATTCTTTTTACTTCAACTTACAAATTAACTATATAGTCAATGTATTCTGCATATAATTATTGATTTACGGAAATGATATTTCAAATTTGATTAACTGTTGCATGGGTTAAAGAAAGAGATTATGTTTTGAACGTATTCATTGCGTGACATATTGAGGTTATTTGCTAAAGCTCAATCCAACCTATACAACAATGAATAATTTTTAATGATGCACACAGTACATAAAAAAAAGTAAAATTGTGGATTGAAATGACGAATTATTTATCTGTTTTGATTTAATTCGCTATTTAATTATTTGTGAAGTATGAGAAAGTCAGATGTGACTTCATACAAAGTATTATTACTTATGTATTCACTATTCAGTAAGTAGTACGTCATTTAACGACGAAGATTAACAAATCAATTAGCTTCGGTTAATGATCGATAGCTGAACAGCTTTCAACAGTGTTCTCTATTAAAGTATGTAAACAGTAATCTGTTCAAAAACTAAAAATTTCTGAATGGTCAAGATGATTCGCGCCAAGAATCAACTGGAGAATCATTAAGCAGGATGAATCAGTCACGTATTTCTTCCTAATTTCGAATATCTCAGTGTTGCTCAATAGTAGCTAGCTTAAAACTGGTTTATTGAATATCTGGTGGACAATCGTGAATAATGAAGGCCATTCAAGGAGGGTTAAAAACAGTTATCTGCTAATGGGAATAGATTATGGTTGCGGTTAATCTAGATTAACTTATGTTTTAACTGAATTCTGACTCGGAAGCATTAAATCACCGTGCTTTTTCCAGATCATCAGGTTCTTCACTAAATCCAGTGAGAGGTTCTGCATTTGTCACTTCTAAACCTGTCATACTTTTAAATTTTTCAAGTTTTCCAGCTGATAACACTTTAATAAAAACTATTTCCAGACTGCACAATCCCCCCTAAAACACACAAAGATCAAGAAGCTATTCAAATTTGATAGGAATTACAGCTCACTAATGTCATCTGGAAGAAAGGAGCATGATATAAATGCATGTTTGTGATTAGTTGGGTAAATAAAGATTCCGATTTGACATTGTGCTCGTATGAGCAGTTGGGTTATTAGCATTATCTTCAAGTATATGACTAGATTAATTTTGAGAAGTGAAGCCAAAGAAGCCTTAATATTTCATCGAGTGGACTGGTAGTCAATTTTTATCGATTAACGGCCTATAGAAATTCAATGACAATTAAATTGCCTATTAATTTATTATAATGCTCTGGAAACGACTTTCGCTCTACCAAATGCCTGAACTCTGGATATCATGCAGATCGGCGTTCAATAATCGTCTTAGATATGTTCTTCACTCGAAAATTATGACTAGCATTATCTGATTCCATGCTTCGGCACGTTATTACTGAGCTGTTCAAACTATACCTGACCTATTGTTATACTAAGGTTGATATCACTATTCGGTAACTAGACAGCAAACAACATCTGTTTTTTCATCTTCAGTACTGGATCGATTCTATCGATGCGTTTTTTAGTGCAGGATAGGACGATGCTTCATAATTTACATTCGATAGTTAGTAAGAATTGTACTAAAAGAAACCATTTGTTTCTACATTCAATGCAAGCAGTTTGAATTCCGATTTCTATCTACTAAGTGATTATGAAATAACAGCAAATCCATTTTATTAATTTTCATAATTTATTTTATCTAATTCGTTTGTATTCAATTCATTTCTACTTGCATGTAATAAATAGTTAATGAAGTTAACTAAATTATACTTGTCTTATCCGTCACTTTCTTCAAATAAAGTTAACTTTTTCATTAATTTATCTAATTTAATATTTGTAAGATAAATTGCTTTACTCAATGAAGTATAAAAATTATAAAAGACCAAACAGGCAAAAATTTATTGAATTCCTCAAAGGAATGTAAGATTTTAATTACAAATTATATAGGAAGTTTTCGGATATATTTTCATTAACACTCAGCGAAATTTTCATTTAAAAACTATACTACGAAGTGTTAAAAAAATAACCGAAGATCAAAAGGGAATAAATTCAACTTTTTTTTCGGTCTTCTATCAAGCTAAGAAATCTATTTTAGATTATATGCGCAATCTATAGAACGTTGGAGTTAGTAAAGAATGTGTGTAACAAAAAGAAAATCTGTAATCAGTTGTAAATCTGTTTCCATAATTCTCTTGACGTAACAGATGTTGTGAGAAAATACGAACAAATATATCTCTTGTTCACATAATTAGGATGAAAAGAACATAAGAAATAAGGTTAAACTTAAACTTGCTTAGCAGTTGAAACTCAAAGTTCTGGGAATAACTTCGATGAATAAATTCTATAAAGTGATAATTGTAAGCCACCAAAGAAGCAGTTTTATAGTTCATGAGTCTTTAATGAAAGTTATGCCAGTTGGTATGAGTGTTCACTGTGAATGTTGAAGTATTTCCGGTCACCTATAGTATTCTTTTATCTTTTTACAAAAATATTCAGGTTGCTATTTCACATATAACGAAACCTAAATGAATTTGATACAACAATTGTTGATATTAAAAAAGAAAAATGCAGTATAAATGATTGATCATTGAGTAGTACTCATTGTCGTGCTTGTCTTATCCCTTTTAGTGCTAGCCGAATCCTATCGATCAAGTTGCAATGTCACCACTAGTTTAAGTCTTTGGGAAATTGGTGTCCGTTGGTGAATCCTGGCTGCAGCCTGAATAGCGAAGTGATAACATCACAGATTGAGAAGCTGGGTGACATGGGATCGAATCCACTAGGGGGCACTAATCCCCTCAGGATTACACGCCAACTTGGATAACGGGTGTTAGATAGCAAGAAATCACAGGTGCAAGTTTTCTTGTCGACTATCTCCAACCATCTAACACTTATACAACACCCTCGTTCCTCCTATGACAAGAATAGAATTAATGAGTGATTTCACAAACCACAAATTTACCTCATTTTACTCATGTCTTCTGCAACTACTTTACATTTAGACATTACGAATTCACAAACTTCCTTTAATATTGTAAGTTATTCCATGATTTTTGCCTTTTTGTTTTGAAATACACTGAATGCTGAATTATCGCTCTTTATTATGGCATTTTATTTATGACGGGTGCACAAATCATCATGCTGTTGAAATGTCTGTCCACTATATAATTGAAGAGGAAATAATCGAAAGCCACATCGCTCGCTTTTGAAGCATGTTCTAGCTTACACATTGGTTCTGTCTGAGAAATTGTCGAATAACTCTGCCCTAAACAGATATTAAATATGGTTCGTGGTATTGACTTGAGTAATTAAATGTGAAATTTGTCCAAATGATCGAATGCCGTTTTGTGCATGTCATACTCATTTCATGATCATTTGTGACTTTAGGCCATGGTCTGTATCATACAATTCAGTCTTGATATTACAAAACTAAGAATTACTTACTAACACATGTTGCCCTCGTGAAGGAGCATCGACTGCTCAACAGTATTCTCAAAGCAACTCTGTTCTCGGAAATCATTTCCACTTATTTCCACTTGCTACTCATTCTTTTCATGTCTGCTTACAATTCTCAATCCAATGTGGGGAAATCTTGATAATCCAACTAATCACCAGAAAATAAGAGAAAGAACGAGAGTATGCAGTTTTATTTGACTCCAGTTTTCACTTGCAATGTATCTTACAGCTGTCCTACATGCACAACTTCACGGCCGAATGCCTTCCGAAGAATCTCGGCTTTCATCATGAGTCGTCATGATTCTTCTGAATGAAGATCCTTGAATCCGGAAGACAGCGTTTAAATAGTTTAATTTGTTTATTTTGGCTAGTGCTTTTTAGCAAGGTTTAAGTGCAGTTTTGTTGTTTTAGCAAGGTTGATTTGTACTGTATGGAGTTGCTGACCCCATGCCCAATCCTTCTCCTTTATCCGGGCTTGAGACCGGCAATAACCCTAGAAGAGCTACAGGAGTAGCTAAGACTAAAAGTAGCTTTCAATTAAGTGAATTTATCAAAGCATAAATTAGTTACAACATAGATCAAGAATCCTAGTATGTGTATGCGTTGTTATTCAAAAGACACCCAATCATAGTACATAACAAAATAATTGAACGATCGTAATGTTGTTCTTCATTTGTTTGTCAATAAATTCAGCGGGATGTCTAATTACACCCTACTTCGTTTACTGAGATTATTTGTTTTCGCCCAAAAACAATTGTAAACGTTAGCTCGTTCGTAAAATTGTACAAATACCATAGATACTGTCACCGAAGAGTTGAGAAATGGGTGTGTTCTTTTCTATTAGTTCGCAGGAAAATTATAAAACGAAGTGTATTTACCATAAGAATGTACATTCTAACTAAAACGTATGCAACGAAGGAAATAATTTCAATTGTCTTGAGTTTTGTTAACGTAATTTAAGAGATAATGTTCTGCGAAGTCTTCTTTGTCATAGTCATAGTACAACAGAAAAAACTAAGTGTACTTCAATAATCCAGTTGAATAGGTTAACAGATTCATATATAAAGCGTCTCATATTAACTAAGTTCAGCCATCATCAATGGATTCGCTATAATTACGTTACTCCTAGTAGATTGTGAAAGATCTGGAAGCCTTAAGCGTTTTAAATAATTTTCGACATTTAACAATCAGATATCCAATACACTCTATCCGCAGACAGTCGGAATATCAGTAAATGAAGCAAAGACAAAATGTGTGAACTGTAAAAAAAAGTTATTTAAATACGCGTTTCTAGAATTATGTAGAAAATAATAATATTCATGAAAGATGATTAAAGAAAATTAACACCACGTCCTGAATCCGAATTTTATCACCCTTAAAATAAGAGGGTTTTCATACAACCTCATCCTATGATAAGCTCAAATACAGCAAGAACAACAACAAGCTATACAGAGTAAAATGATGGGTTCCATCATCCTATTTCACGGTTTCTCATCAGCTGCATACAACCTAGAACTACAATTATTAATATGATTTTTAACAAATGTTTAGAATAATTTAGATTGTGAAGTTTAGATAAATGTTCAAAACGTAACCTGAATAATAATAATAATAATAATAATAATAATAATAATAATAATAATAATAATAATAATAATAATAATAATAATAATAATAATAGAGATACAACGTGTATGGATCAACTTAGTTAAGATCGGTGTGTATTTAAATGTGGTGAAATTATTCAGAGGTTATGTAAAGAAAATGAGACTAATGAGTGATTGTGTAACAAACAATTATATGAACATTACGCAAAAGATGAATATCAGAAGACAAAATAAGCACAATGATTAAAGGTTGGGGACAGAGTAGAAAACAAGATTAAAAGTTAAAATTAATAAGGGTTATCGGATGAATGCCTCATCACCATGGCAGAGAAAGGCTAACCCCCCTTTCATTTGTATACATAGGTCAGGTCAGAGACGTTTTATAGCGATTGCCTCTACCACGGATTAAGATGATGTTTTACATGTTAATTATTTTGAATGCATACTTACATTTTTTTTCTGTCCACTATCCAAAATGTGTCTAGCAATCGCAATTGTAAAGACTTTTACTCCCTTTCAGCCATAGGTTTTTAGGAATGTATGAAGAAAATTTTATGGAGGCTCTTTACTGTCTTTTATTTCTACTTTCTGCCATCGGTAAATGTAAATTCATAAATCCAACTGGATGTGAAATCGCAAAGGTATTGATCTGCCTTTGAATTGTACAATGAACACTTGGTGTTGTATGGCGAAATCAATCGAGCAACAAGGAAGCTTGTTTCAGTGCCACCTTTACTCTCCTATCGATTCTAACTGAAATCTCATATCTTTTGAATGGAAAGCGGATGAAAATTTTTTTAAAACAGTTGGTTTTTATCATCCTTGAGATATTCTTTGCTATATTTCGTTATACAATTCCTCGGGTATCCATTTTTCTGAGATACTCTTCCAGAATAGTTAATTCCTCATTTATTATGCCGTACATCACTGCATTACATTTTGAAATTGAAAAACTTAAGGTTTCTTTTTTATGTAATTAAAATTTTTCTTAATTCATTTAAATCTATTCAGTGATTAGTCTGTCAACAACTTCTGTGGATTTCGATTTCCAGAATAATTTACTTTTGTTGTATGATTTGTGAAACTAGATTGTTGGTTAATCACATTTGTGTAAAAACATTATTCATTAGTTTTAATTTCGTTTTGAGTTTGAAGGATGTGTTGAATGTTTGTTAATTTTTGTACGTTCAAGGGTTGTACAATAATTGTCAATTAATATCACACTTTCATGTTATAACAACTTACAAGCTACTGACTACTTATGATCTCTCGCCAGTTTATTAGACCCTATAAATGATCTTTGCTTAGTGTGTAATTTATTCTTATGTTCGGCATAAATATTTTTCGCTGTTTTTTCTGCTTTGTTTTCTTTTTAATGATTGTTGTTTATACTTATTTACGTAACAAATGAAGAAGTATACAAACAACTAAGGGAAAAACACAATGTTCCTAGTGTTATTATTGCCTTTTGATATCACAGAAGGATATTTAGTGTATTTAATTAAGTTTTCGTCATTCAATCGTGTTTTCGTCCCTATGATTGTTGTCATTGTTGCTATTATTCTGTTAATGGCTTTCGTTGATGTTCTTTCCTTATATGTTCGACTTGTGTGGTTGTTTATTTATTTATCGTTTTTTTTATTATATTAATTTATCTATTCTAATTAACTGGTAATTTACCACTTATATATTGGAAATCATGAATATTTTCTCTTATTATTCTTATTATACAAAACTCTTGTCTTAAAATTATATCAGAAGGGTTTTTGTGGAGATTTTAGAAATTTCGCTGATTGAAATCATGAGTCAATTGAAGCTAGACCACCATGGAAAACCTGGAAGCACTGGACGGCCGTTTCGTCCTAGTATAGGACACCTCAGCAGTGCGCATCCACGATCCATGGTGGTTTAGTTCCAATTGACTCATGATTTCAATCAGTGAAATTTTTAAAATTATACATTAAATTGTCAAAATAACGGTTTCCTAATTCTCTAGTTACTGTTTCAGTTTTCGAATCAATAAATTGGGTTTTAATACTATCCGTAACAGATCATGGTTTGATTTGATTGTAATAACACAGTATTCTGTTGTTAGCAGATACACCTTTAAATCCTAGTTATTGATTGATACTGATATCATAAATAAATTCCATTTTGATAGATTTAATATTTAGATTAAATATGTGCTGAATTGAATTTTGTTTATTACTCTGCTTAGCTTTCAGTGATACAATAATCATCAATTGAAGTTTCAATGAAGCTGATGAATAATCTCGTCAAAAGGTTTCATTACCAAGGTTTGACTTATAATTTTGAGTAAATTCAGCATTGGGTAGATTGTTACAAATAAAATAATATATTTGTAATATCCCAATGAGTAGAAAAATTAGATTTCGTGACTCAGTGTGAACCACTTCTCCAAAAAATAAATAACCAATCGAAATAGGACAAACGAAAAGAACAAAAGCATGTAATTGACATCTTACAATTTAATAATTTTTCTATGAAGATTATTAGAAGTGTATTAAAACGAGACGTTTCACTGGTGAATGATAACTTGAATGAAATAACATGGATAGGTATTACAGTTTTAACATACCTATCCATGTTATTTCATTCAAGTTATCATTCACCAGTGAAACGTCTCGTTTTAATACACTTCTAATAATCTTCATAGAAAAATTATTAAATTGTAAGATGTCAATTACATGCTTTTGTTCTTTTTGTTTGTCCTATTTCGATTGGTTATTTATTCTCTGAAGAAGTGGTTCACACTGAGTCACGAAATCTAATTTTTCTACTCATTGGGATATTACAAATACATTATTTTGTTTATAATCTGATTGAAAGTTTCATTGCCAATAAACTCAGTTCACAGTTTATTCTTTTCTTGAACTTGAGCTATTTTTAATCTGAGTTGGTAAATCGTATCTGAAAGTGCATATTGCATTTTTACTTTCTTTTTTTACCTGTTATCATTATGATTTTACATTCCCTAGACAGGTGTATGTCGAAAGATATCTTAAAATAATTTTTGTTTTGCTATTGATAATTCTTTTAGAATCAAAACTGATTTTGTTTCATTGCTTTGTCCAAATGTATATTGTACGTTATTAGAAAAGTTGCTTTATCATCCTTTTACGTTTATGTGTTTTTTAAGAATTCATTGCCGAATTTATGGTGTTTTTTTCAATCCACTGTAGTTAACCGATTTTTGTCAGTCAAGGAGTATAATTAGTTTTCTCTTATTGAATGTGTCCCAGAGATATAATTTAATGAAGTTCTTATGAGTTTTATTTTCTTCCACATTTAGTCTGTGGTAGAATTTGACCTTTACATCTATCTGTTCAGTTTTAAATAGAATTGTAATGTATTCATAAACCATAGTACCATTCATTTATTAAAATTTTTGTTGTTCCCTATTTAGTAACATTTAATTAATTGAAAACTCAACATGATTCTTACGAACATCTTTAGACTCTTGTTTAGTGACTAGATAAAAAGTAGCTGCACTTGAAAATGTTGAATTTTTCACTTACTAATAAACCTATCCTTAACCGGTCGTGGATTCGCATTTACATTACTTCTCAAAATGATTTCAAACAAATGTTCAGTGTTCCTTGATATTCAATAATTGCTCAACTGGGATAAATTAATTCTAAATACATTATTCACATTGAACAAATATCTAAAATTCACTTAACTAATTAATGGAATACATGTTTGTTTACTAGAGATAAAAAACCTAGATATTGTTTAATGGATTGTGTTTATTTTCAAATATTGTATATATTTCAAAGATAATTTCAAAATAATACAGTTTTCTAGTGAATAAAGTGTTATCATCATCATTATCATAATTTAGGAGAGATATTCTTTACTATATCTACTCTTTTTCATATTTTATAATCTACTTACAGAGATATAATTTTTGATCTGAATAATACATGGTAGAGGATGTCCAATTTTCAGAATTTACTTATTTTTGTGATAACAAACAATAATCATAATACATTAATGGCTTGTTTTTACTTTCCAAGATTTCATATTGTATAATTTAATCTCATTTTCTGTATATGTCTCTGCAGTTATTTTTCTTTTCACTTTCTTCACTATATCATACTCTATTTGTCTTCGTGCATTTCATACTGATTTATAAGTTTTATTCATAATGTAAATGGATTTGGATTAATCTACTTAGAAAAATGTTATATTTTCTTTTATTTTTCATAGTCAGTTTGTTACAAAGTATCATTTAAAAGTAGACTACTAATGAACTAATGTTTGTACAGTCTGTCTACGCTAATATATTGTTAGACGAATAATGTGCTGAATATCTTTGGTTCTTGAATAAACTGCCGACATGCTACAAATATTTGTAGATTGTTATTTGATTAGTAGATACATGAGTTACTTATTAAAATTCTTTTTTTCTCTTTGCATTATTTCAACTGTTGGAGGTGAAACAGTTCACTGTGGCAGATTTTCCCTCTTTCAGCTAATTATTATATAGTATTGTAAGAGTTTTTTGTTTTTCGGTGTATAACTTTCATCTTTTATTATCACTGTGTTTTTCTGATACTGTTTATGGGAATCTCAGTGTTGATAATGACATCGTTGAGACAAGTTGACGTTACATCATTCAACAGTTGTTTTTCATTGTTAGTTATTCTCCCGTAACAATACTTATCCTCGTTTAGTTTTCGTTTTTTCAAGAATCATCGGAGGATCTGTGTTAGTATCTTATAGTCATGTTCTGAATGGCTGAAGATTATTTTGAGCTGGCATTTTCACTTGATCATTCTTTACTATGTACATAATCTAAATTCCACTACATATTTTTTGCGGAATCTGTTTTTACTTGAAGTACACTGTAATCAGTTTTGTTAATAGCACTTAAGTTCTGAAGCCATAGTTGAATCCCAGTTAATTGGTAATGGTTAGTAAATTACTTAGGTCTTATGTTTAGAACCTTATTCATCTACCTGAATTAGATTTAGGGGATAGTATCATTAGATCTTATAAAAATAGTGCGCCTCACAGCTAAGCACACTAACCTGTATATGGTTACTCAATTGTATTATTTATTACTGATGAAACGTTTCGATTGTATAGGTAGTAGGTAATTTAATCTGACCAGTTATTTTTAATATTTATTTTAGGTTAACTCATTGTTATTTTGTTCTTCTATTTTTAGATTAATGTAAATGTCAGTGAGATTTCAGAGGCCAGGTTAGTTCATCAACATTATTTTCACTATTGTAACCATTAGTGTCACTAGTGATATTTGATGTAGCCTTTTTAAAAATTGTTTCCTTTCTGCTACATAATCTTATTGTCCATACATTTTTACTGTTATTATTATCGTTATTATCATTTTAAGTTTCTTTTTGTTGTTGAGCTAATAAAGCTCGTAGTACGTTTTAATTTGGTACATGACGAGAAAATGATGAAACTGCTGATTTGTAGTTTATATTCATGTTTCTGTTCATATATGGATCATTTATTTAATCAGTTATGTATCTATTGCTACTTGATGGTCTCATCACGGAATAGAAGCACTTCAGAATATACCTGCGATCGAACATCTATGATTAACATTTGCTCCTCACTACCAAATAATAACAGCTGATCGCTGTACTATTTATTTACGGTTTGATAAACTGTCAGGTATTCCGTCAGGAGTATAACAAGTTCAGGTTAGCAAACACCAAACAGCTGTTTTGTATCGTTCTGGAGATTTTCGAGGTGGTCGAATCATTAAGGTTTTCAGAACTCCTCGATTATGTATTGCTTTGTTATAAAATACACGTTAAATCTCAAGACCAATAATATGAGGCATATAACGAATACCCTCGTTCCTCACATTAATCAAACTATTTTCTATATTTGCCCGTAAAACGCGCCAGTGTTGTGATCAGCACATTTTGTGCTGGATATATATTGGAAATTTGATTATTTTCTGCGTTTGATAATTTTCGCATAGAGTAGGCTTGCTTTTCGTTTAATCCTATTTTTGCACAAATCAATTTTGGGAATTCCGAACTTCAGTTTATGTGGCCGGGTATTATTACTAACCCTCACCTGAAAAGAAATAGATGAAAACCCAATACATTTATTCTTGGTTAATGATTTCATTGTTAGGTGGACGATAGCTATATTCTAGCAATTTATTTGATGTTTCTTCTACAGTAAAACGGTCACAGAAACAAAAGCTATATCGAGTTGTGCATATTAATTTCTACTTCTTTTTTAAATTCTCCCTTTAGTGTGTCTTTACTCCGTAAATTTACCTTAACTTTATCGACTCTGATACTTAAGTCTTAAATAAATATTTTTTCAAAAAAGCTTACATTTATCTGACGTTTCTGCTAAACAATTTCTTAATATTGTATGATATATATGCTACATTGAGCTTTTATATATATTGTTACTTATATGTAACTTTTATTGTAAACCTGTTAATAGTTCCTTTGACTGGCAGTTATTTGATAAACATAACCTTTTTATTATAGTCTGATTCTATTATTGTTTTCCCTTTTTCTCCCTAACTTTAAAGCTCTAATCTAGGTGTGGATAGTGTGCATAACTTATTCTTCATACTCTTGTAATATAATCAGTATATTACCCAGATGAGAATTGAATTTGTTTACAGATACAGTATTTTTATTATTATTATTATTATTATTATTATTATTATTATTATTATTGTTTACAGTGTATTTCTGTCACATTTTATCATATTCCATTTTGTCTCATTGTTTTGCTGGGTATCAAATCTGATTTTATAGATCATCACTATTGTAATTTTATTTGCAAAAGTTTTACTGAATAGTTCCTACACTGTTATTATTATTTGCGTTACTACTATCTTTGAGTGAAATCTTAAATATTAACTAATTTTTATTTTAAATCATAAATTTATTCATTTATATTGTTAAATATTCATTGTTCGTCGACTCTATTCGATACTGAGAATTCATTTGCTTTTTTGTTTAACTGATACAATGCTATCATAATTAGATCGGGAACAGGGGAAATCTGGAATTTAATAAAAATTTCGGATGGTTTGAATGGTCGTTTTTATTGAATGATACTGTCTATAGTATATAATTATGGTGTAAATATGCTCTTGAGTAACGTGAAGTGTTGAACCAGTTTCTCATCTAATTTTGCGAAACGACTGACAATAATGTAATCTTTGGGCTTTCATTTTTTAAATTCTTATTACTTGTATTCTAGCATAAGACACAGTTGATATAAAACTACCTAAGTTATCTGACTTAACATTATCATCTCTACTTTCTATATGATACTCAGAGATGTCAGTTTTTCATAATGTGTAATAAGAATAATTATTACTTGAATTGGTTTCATCTGTCTTTACTAAATAATACTAATATTGTGGTGTGTGATACTTATATTGACATAAGTAGTATATGATGTTAGTCGTGAGAGAGAGACAAGAGGATCGAACAGTAAAGAATGGAAACAGTCTGCAATTTGTATGAAAATGCAAGAACAATGAAGTCTGAGTCATTTTGAGACAATTGATGGACATTTTGCAAATTAAGCATTTACTTTATGATTGTTAGATTTTATTAACAAGCTCTGTAATTTTGAGTCAAATACATTCGATTGTCTCCACTAGTGATAATAGTAATACTAATATTCTTTTTATTTATTACGATATATTTGATATGAGTAAAAAATTCTTACTTCAAAATGTGTAAAAAATTCCTCCTTTTTACGCAGTAAACGGATATTCAATATATATATATATATATATATATATATATATATATATATATATATATCCATAAATGTTTACAATCAGTCTTGTAACAACTAATATGCTTAATTTATGAGTTATGTAGTGTTTGCTATTCTTTTCTATGAAGGATGGAAGAGAATAAAAATATTCAGAAAGCTATGATGATACTTCTCAGTCGTTAAATTCGCGATAAAGTGAACATTTCATGGAAATGCGTAGGCACAAGCAGCTGACAGATCTAATTAGTTAATTGAAATAAGTGTAAAACGGGAAGATTTATGGTTATAAATTCATTTTTCTAAATACGTCCTAGAAGTTTGAGCAGATAGATGTATGAATTGTCTGTGGCTGAATATTAGATGTTAAGCAAATTTAATTCATTGAATATCCACCCCTATATTTCATTTCATTCTGATAATACATAGTCTAATACTATTTGAGTATTACTCAGTCAGTCAAGCGTTAGGAAAAGGATCAGTAATACGCATTTATTTCCTGTGATAAAATATAATTATGTAACTTAATTATGCCTCATTTATTATTTGTGCTTTTTTTCGTTGCATTATATTTATCAATATAGTTTTTTTTCTTCAGCAGTATTTGCTTAAGAAAATTCTCATCTGTTTTAAACTGTTCGCATTTAATTTACATAAACCTTGTGAAGGCTCTTTACTCGAACACCAATAGTCGAGTCAGAGCATATGAAGAACTGTCATCTGCTTTTGCAACCTCAACAAGTGTCCGTCAAGGCTGTCCACTTTCTCCATTTTTATTTAACTTCATCATAGACCTACTGATGGAAATAACATTCTCGTCTACTGAATTCTCGGGTATTGACCTCCTTCCAGGAGGTCCACTTATCGACCTAGAATACGCAGATAACATAGTCCTGTTTGGTGAAGACGCTGATAAAATGCAGAGTCTTTTGGTAGCACTGAGCAACAATGCCAGAATGTTTGGAATGCGCTTCTCTCCCTCTAAATGCAAGTTGTTGCTTCAGGATTGGTCTGCGTCAACACCTGAACTAAGGATAGGGAGTGAAGTAGTCGTACGCGTTGACAACTTCACTTATGTTAGAAGTCTGATCAGACCTGATGGGTTAATGTCTGAGGAAATCTCTGCACGAATTGAAAAGATCGTTTGGCTTTTGACAACCCACATAACCTATCAATTAAGGGACGAGTATACTGCGCGGCAGTCCGTTCTGTTTTAATTTACGGCAGCGAAACATGGCCATTAAGAGTAGAAGACACTCGTAAGCTACTAGTATTTGACCACAGATGCCTTAGAAATATTGCTGGCGTCTGCTGAGGTTAGACGCAGGGTATTAGGAAATGATGATAAATCAGTTGATGAGGTTGTGAATCTTCATCGACTGAGATGGTTGGGCCACGTGTTACGTATGCCTGAACACCGATTACCACCACGCGTAATGCTGACTAGTGTTGGGGATGGTTGAAAGAAAGTTAGAAACGGTCAAACCAAAACGTGACATCAGTGCTTGAAGTCACTAACTTCTAGTCTTAACCATGTTGGTAGATGCAGACTACTTGGTTGGGGTCCGCGTGACTATCGTAACCAATGATTGGAGACTCTGGGTGACATTGTTTAGAATCGGTCACAATGGCGTAGGTGTATGCACTCTCTGTCTTCCCTTACACTATGAGGTTAAAATTGCTTTATATCTTTCTTTCTACCAACTGATCTTTCTCCCTGTACTATATCCTTATATGCAATCTTTCTTTTATGTTACTACCATTGAAGTAACTACTTTATGAATTCGGTATTCATCTTGTTGTGCTAATGAGGTATGGCAACTTGTACCGATGAATATATGTGCCTGGTTCTACGTTGTAGCTGACTGACTGACTCAATCAACTTCTCACTCCTTTTTTTCTTATCATAAAATCTGAATTGATTCATTACTGAAATTAAAATAGTTCACATTCTTTATGAATTTCATAATTTTGTCTTATTGTTGATACGTTTAATTTTCATGATTGTTATTGTTTATTGATCTTAGCAAATGAACACAAAGGTTCCGTTAATTCGTTTCTTTTAATGACTGTTATTTGATGCTCAATATCTACAGATTCTTGTAAAAAACTAAATAGCCCAGTCGTTTCTTTTATTGAAGGAATCAAACCTAGGTCAATGGGCCTCAACTTCGAACTTTTCCCCGCTTAATTCAGTCGTAGAATCTGAATAGTATCACTAAATTTCCTATATTAACAATAGGATTTAGAACTTTTTGTATACTAATCCTTGTTTTATTTACTTAAGTGGAAAGTAGTATAGTTGTGTTCGTTTTATTTCAGTCGCTTAAAAAAAATTAAAATGAAATTTCTACATAATTATTTAACGACACTTTGGTGATTTTAAAGACTGTTTTCATTTATATATATCAACTGATGATCCAATTAACATGAGGCAGACTTGTAAAAATATAAACTATTTACTTTCAACACAGATGTTTCCGATCTCTTTCAGTAGTTGTGAATGTACATTACTGTGTATTCTCAAACTGGAAATAAACAAATACTCCCATCGCTATTTGAATTTTTATTCTTCTCTAACTGATTTCATACTGTCTTGGAAGTTTTCTTTCTAGCTGAAATAATTATTTTTCTCTCTTGTTTAATTGTTCATTGTAAATCACATAGAAAATACAGAGTATATGTGTTATTTATGCTTATATATCATTATTGACCTTATTCACTTGTCGTTTTGCATTGAGGTGTTAACCTAACAGATTTTGTAGATAATATCAAAGTAATTAAAAAAAACATTCAATTATTTACTACTAAACATTAATGGTTTAAATTTGACTAGGTAGGTTTTATACAATTCTTAACGTTACATTGGTAATGTATGATGCTGAAAGATTAAGTCAGTTTTGAGGAATAATCCGTAATCATGTTATGTGAGATTAGTTTCATTAGAATATCAGTTGATTGGAATCTTAAGATTACTGCATAGTATATTTCGATTAGATAGCTGTAATAACACTTTTACTACAATGACAAGATATACTGGATTTTATTTTAACTGAGAATCATAAATCGTTTACGAAAGAACCTTTTAAAAACGTACTGACCTTATTCAATAATAATTTATAATTTTGAGTTGGTTAACAAACTGTCCCATGTTTATTTTATTTTGAGTTAAAAATTGTCTATGTTGCGACACTTCTTTATTTGTCTGTACATAAACCTTTCTTGTTTTAATTCAATATATTTGTTGTTAAAGTTGGTAATCTGTTTCTTTACCATCCAACTATGTAGTCTTATGAATATTTTACGGATATTTCTGCAAACAAACGATAAAAATAGTTTTGCATAGAGCTGCATCATCTATTCGCGAATAATGAAGATGAGATAAGTCAACTGTGAAGTTTATTGAGGGTCAACATTTGTGTGTATGTGATTTTCTTCACGGATCAACGTTAGCTGAGGAACCATTAAGAACCAGGGAGCACCGGACAACGGCTTTCAATTAGACATCCAATACTTCGCGGTAGATCGGATCTATAATTTTCAGGACAAAGGGAAGCGCTTAATTGCTAAGTAACTTAGTTAAAATTCAATAGTTCATATTCCTATTTAGCGGGATTTCCATCTTTTGAATGCATGAAGGTCCTTTTATCGGTCCCTGACTATGTCGTGGGTGGATATTTCAGAAAAATTCAGTGGTTCCTCAGTTTATATCAATGCATGATGTAAATCAACTTCAATCTATGTGAGAATTCTTTTAAGCTAAATGTATGGCTTTCATTAACAACACTAGTATCCTGTGAAAAACTTATATTTATACAACGAAAAATATATATGATTCTCAGTTAACTTCCCTGTTTCATATTTCATCCACATATCTGCTAGTTGTCAATCTTATCTGTTTCAAAAAAGAAAAAAATAACGATTGATACAATTATTCAGAAATGTAGGAAGATATTCGAAAATAATTTTAGTTCATTATAATAAATAATATTGATTCATTCAGTGCTATGCAATCGAACACACGAAGGGGACTGGATGAACTTTTCCCATGTATTTCTTCAATGGTATTTACTTCAAATCGTATCAGTTTTATTTTCGCATAGGGAATCTGTCATTCAAATATCAATTATTCAAGTGAAAACAATAAAGAAAAACAGGAAATAAACAAATTGAATGCGACTATCCCTTTTAATTTCTTTGTGTTCAACTCTATGGTTGAAAATAATATTCAACTTTACGTATATATATATATATATATATATATATATATATATATATATATTAGAATAGAGACCTGTTTACTTCTTTTTCTCGCCAAACTTAATTAGTAAATTTATCATTTTACATAAAAAAGAAAACTAGAATAGATGAATTGATCATGCCTTTAGTCATTCACTATGCAAGTGAATCCGAACAATCTAGATAAATTTGCTCTTATTTGTGTGTATGTTTATTCTATTGTTAATTTTGGCAAATTATTTATTTTTAATTTGATATTCTCTCTTATTCTGACTTAGTTAATTATAATTTATTATATTTCTCTCTACATTATTGTGTTCATTTGGTTTTACTGAATTTTCTTAACCATCAGTAATTGCATTCAATAAATTTATTGCTGAGATGTTTATGTTTTTCATTTCTAAATTTGCTTTTCTTTTGAAAATAATTTAGATAATTGACAGTTTCAGTGAAATTTATTTATTAATTGATAAATTAGCTATTTCAGGAAACCTTATTTTTTGGTTTCGATCAAAATGTATAATTTCTATTTTAAATTATTCAAATACATGATATTAATTATTGGATGTGGTTCTACTCAATTCTTCAATAACGTCTTTGTTTTAAAATTGAGAGATATAGTCATGTCTTAGTAGTAAAATTAGTTGATGAAATTAAGTAGTATATTTTGCTTAATCAACTATTACAATGGCTTTGAATAAATTGAACATTTATGTATTTTATATGAAGAAACATGACCACATTTTTACGTATTATTTTCAATTTCCAAAAGTGTATGTTTTAAGTGAAAAACAATTTTATTATAAAATATAGTATTTAAACTGCATAGTAAAATATGAATTAGTTTCATAGTGTGTCATTAACTTGATTTCCATTTTAGGTTGTAAAGCTGGATAGATTGAATTTTCTTAACATTTGTAGTTAGTTTAGGTGAATCTCCTAGCCTGTTCACCAGAAGTTTTAACTTTCGAAGTTTGCTTCATTTCACTATAATGGTTGAGTTTTTTCAATGAACATAGAATAGAAATCCTACATGTGATTTGAGAGATACTGCTCAGGATCCTCTGCATAACTTTCAGAATACTCAACAAACCTGTTCTATTCTTGTGTGGACGATCAAATCATAAGCTTCACTCAAGGAGGTGGGGAAAAGTGGTTCAGTTCTATTGGCATCTTACACACTAGTTGGTTGATTCAAACTCATTTTATCTTTTAGTCAGAAGAGCTGTTGGAGTTCATATTTTTGAAGGTGAATAGTTATATTCCTTTTAATTCCATAAATTTCGTTTACTACTCACTATAGTATGATATTTCCTTACATTAAACCAGTGTTACACCTTATTTTCAGTTTTACACCAATTTTTACTACTCTTCTTGTTCATCTTATGATATCTTTCACTATACATGCAGAGATAGGTTAGTAAGGTAATAGTATATTTAAACAAACTGTCCTTTATACATAACCCCAAATGACATGAATTGATTAATCGACGTTGTGTTAATGTTATTCTGTTACAAACTCGAATAAAATTTCATGTTTATTTCTCAACTGTATGCACATTTTTTTTCCTTGAAACGTTGTTATCGTATTTGTTTTCTTCTAATTCTCTTTTCAATTCCTTCGTGGTGTATCTACTTTTTATAGTGAAAACTATCCAATTTTATTTCCAGCATCTATTTTATTTTAAGCGAAAAGGCATGGAACTTAAAATAATTTTTAGATATAAAAGTGTTAACATCTGAATTTTTCGTTGTTGTATTTCATTTCCTTCTACTATTGTGTTGTGTTGTGCTATATTTTTCTTTACATATATTATTTTTTTAATATCTTGATCTATCTGACAGTATTATCATTATATCGAATGTGAAGAAGTGCTAGCATTCTCAGTTTTTTTTATAACACAGAGTAAGTGAAGCATCATTCAAATGTTTAGGGTCTAGTGCTTGAATTTCAGAAACAATACTTACTGAACAGCTGTTCTACTAATATCTTCATATTATTTTAACGGATGATTTAATTTTCTTTAATACATTCTTTCTCCCATTTAATTTAGAGTTAAACATGTATGGCCATTACTGCTTCCAGAACATACAACTGTTTTAGATGATAGTCTAGGTTTAGCTCTTTGGTTTGCAGCCCGTGGAAAAGGTGTTTTGCACAGTTCAAGTGAATTCGAAGAGAAATGCACTTCGTCAGCAAAGGTGTGTTTATTTTTTCGAAGATAAAAACGTTAATAATGTTTCAGTACTACAGTTTCTTCCTATCTAAATAATTTAACTAACTATATTGATATTTAAGGATAATTTTATTGTCGATTAAAACTTCTTTTTAAATCAAATGAACCTAAAGTTTGCGTGGCTAATTAGTCATTTCGGTTTTGTTTGAGTTTTTTTCTGGAATAATCGTTTACATCTTTCTCACCTTCATAGCTAAACTCAATCAATCTGTTTACATACAGTTGTAGCTGAGACATCCGATTTACGATGACGTGTTAGGTCTAGGGTTTTTATACTGAACATTGACTTTTAAAAGGATAATAGTAATTTCTGCTCTGGAACCCAGCACGGAAACATCATTTGTAGTTGAGCTTCCTGTCCAAGTGGTCTGCGGTTTTTGAAATCATTTATCTCTATTACTTCGTAAACGCAAACTAGAACGAAACATATTCCCCCTCTTCTGTGGTTTGCTTGGTTATTTATAACTTTATATCGCAAAACCACTGTTTTATTGCTTTTATTCATTTGTTTGTTATTATTACCTTAAGAAAGTTCCTATGTCGTGTTGACTCACAAAAATTCACAGCCTTACCGTAAATAAATGTTTTAATGGTTAATTAAAAATCAAAACAGTTATCATTCGCTCGATAGTATTTTTATCTCATTTACATGTACTACTTTTACACTTGTAAACAATTCTGTCATACATATATGTCTTGTAAAGATGGGTTAGTTGGAGCCCTAGGATTTTGGCAGCAAATTTTAGCTTATCTAAAATATTTAGTGAAAAAGATGCTAAGATTTGTACAGATTTTTCAATTTCTTATTTTCTTCATCACTATCTGATTTTAACTTTGGTTATGATTTCAATGAATATTTTTACAATCTTTTGTTAGTTGTTTCCTAAATCTTTCTTGCTAATGATAACTACAGTATATTCGTTACAAGTTGACCTATTATCTATGACAAAGTAGTATTGTGCAATATTTACTGTCTTTAATATGGAGTCGATAAAAGCGGTGTTAAGAGTGATTATTTAGGTTTCTTTTGCATTATATTTTTGGTTTATATCTTGTCTCTTTTACTTGGCATATCATATAAGAGCAAATTGTGTGTAAACTAAAATAAAGGTTCTCACCTATTTTCCTGCAATTATATTGTACTATGGTCAAAATGTTTAAAATAATGTCCATGTCGTTGCGTGAAATTCAGTTGTCACAAAAAATGACATTGTTTCAATTGTATACCCAATGGGTTAGTGATGCCGCCCTCGATACAAAGTAGGCAGGTTTGCGAGGGAGTTCTTCAGTTAAATTTATAACTATTGTTACCAATCAACTGTTATCATTGTCAGATTATCTGAGAACGAAGAAGTAAGTGGAAATTTTTAGTCTAACATTGTTTACAGTGATCATCTTACCGTGGTAAAACCACATTTATCTGTTTACCATATCACAATATTATTTTATATCTTTGTCATTCATCTTGCTAGTTCAAAGAATCTGTTGATAGTAGTTTTCATTTTTGTTCAGTAACATTTTATCCTGTACCAGAAATTTCCGACTGGTTCATAATTAAGAAACGTCAATCAAATAATCTAAATTGCAAATGACTTGGATTCATTTCTATCGTAACTACAATAAATTTTAACATTTTATTAATCAATGTCCCTGTATTCCCAGAGTTCCTTTTCTCTTAACTGTAGATCTGATCTACATCATCCGTATATTACACTACTGTGTATGAACATCTATATCATAAAAAAGCCTATTTATTATATAACATAAATTATATGAAATTAAAGTTTATTATTTAATTTTCTTAAAAACATATATCCTTAAATTATATCATAGTATTGTAACAATGAATTTTTCGACTCAGTTTCGTTTATATCCCGATAGTTTTCCGTTTTTGTAAAGTCTGAATTTCAAGTTTACTTTTCTATTAAAAATTATAAATTTTTTGTGGCCACATCACTTTTTCTTTTAGTCAAAATCGATTTAATCTAAATTATTTCAATTTAAAATTATTTTGCGATCTTTTGGTAACATGGTGAACGGAGTTACAGTTAATTAGCTTTGTGTTGGCTAGTCTTAATAGAATTTAGTGCACACGCTGTGTTTAATTCTGTCACATATATTGACTTAGCCGTTTGAAGCATATCTTGTTTGAATGTGACCATTCTGAGTTCATCTTAGTGTTGTTGTGCTTGTTTCTGAGACGTCAGAAAATAAATTGAAGAATTAAAAATTGATTGTATTAAATTATGGATGTTTTTCTTCAAAAAAACTATTCAATTATTTTACAGGTGTTATTTTTTAAATGTATTTTGTGAGAACAATTGAAATTCGTAATATTTTCTTTTTAACTTGACACATGAAATCCGAGACTTCAATTGAAGCATTAGCATAAACTTTTTAAGAACCACTGTGGTGCGTGCTACTTATATTGATATAAGTAGTATATTATGCGAGTCAGGAATGTAATGTATGGCAGCAGAAGATGAGGGAAGATCAAGAAAGCAAGAGCGGGAATAAAATGCAATTTGTATGAAAATGAATGAACAATGAAGTCTGAGGCATTTTGAGACAATTGGTGGACATTTCGCAAATTAACGATTTAATATATAGTTCTCAGATTTTATTGAGATGCTCTCTAATTTTGTGTCAAATACATTCGGTTGTCCCCACCCGTGTTCTGTTCACTACATCACTATCTCAACTTAATTGAATTAATTACACCACGTTAATTTATGTGTTGCAGGTTTGTTGCTATGTTCCATCCACTTGAGGTTGGTGAAGCCTCAATCGGTAAAACTCACAGGCTTATTTGAATCAAAAATCCACTTTCCGAGGCTCGCGAACCCACTGTATTGACGTGGTTTTGTGAGAATCTCGTTGTTCATTAATTTTCTTTACACTTCGATTGATTTTAGGTCCTTATGATGATCACTTTAATCATTCATCGAAATAATTCTGAAGTGTTTTCTTTTGCTTGTTTTTTAGTTTCTGTTCCTCGGTTCTGGTATAGATGAACAATTAGCTGGTTATGCTCGTCATCTAACAACATATAAGTAAGATGTCTTATTTTTTTCCTTTAAAACTTTATGCACTGCATAAAATGCGCTTGATTCGATGGGGTTACTTATTTATTGAAATGGTATTATTAAAGCAATATAACCAATCAAATGATAATTTAAAACGTGTGGAATAATTATATAACCGATTTCCATAATAATGGGGATCTTAGAGATAACTAAAGTGTTGCTATCAATTTGAATTCATCTAGGATCTTTAAAATCCCAACAAAAATAACCCATTTATCGCCCACTGTAATGATTAATTTTAATGTATTTTTATTTCTATTCAAATAAAAAATTACTTTGAGGAAGTACTTGTAAAATGTGTAGTATAGTGTGGAATAGTAGGTGTTTAGCGGTGATAGATTTGTTACACACCATGTTTAGAGATAATAAGTTCAATGAAACAACTAAGTTACTAAAAATTTCTTGTCCATCAACTATTGATTTCACTATGTATTCACTAACTACTTCATTAAACAATTAAAAGCCTTTGTAGGTCTATAGTTGTAGAGGTTGTTGGGTTTCATCGAAATAATGAACCGATCGATAGAATATTATAATTGACATGTGACATGTCTGAACTCTCAACAGAACTCCTGGAATTTCCTCTCAGGATATTATATCGCTAATACATAACTGCGTATCAGAGTGAAAATACATTAAAAGAACAGAAAGGAGAGTGCATGTGCGAATCTCTGAACAAGTTCTAAAAAAAGAGATTAAAAAACGGAGGATCTCAACATTCAACTGACACTATACGTCTTGTCAACGTTTTAGGATCATTTTAAAAAGTCCACACGTTAAAAAATGCAACCCAACTACATTTTGTTTAAATGTTTTTTCCTGTATTTTCTTATATACAATCTTTTTTATATATTACTACCATTGAAGCAACTACTTCTATGAATTTAGTGTTAATCTTGTCGTGCTAATGAGGTATGGACGTATACATATATATGCCTTGTCCTATGCTTTAGCTGACTAACTGACTACTGTTTTCATTAGGATGATTGAGGAGCTTTTGTTAGTTCATCTGCCTATTTATTCCTTACGTCATCAAATTCTAAGTACTCTTGTTCCGATCGAGTGAATTATTATCGGCAATCTTCACATAATCTATGTATTCAGTATTCCGCTGCAAGAAAGTTTTCTTGGTTTCGTTTAACATTCTCTGCAAACTTTACTTGGGGAACCTGTGCATGAACAACCCCGTTAAAAAACTTTTATAAAGTGGTTAGTTAATGGTTAGGTTGTGCGACTTCAAGGCCAGGCCAAAACACCTCTACACCCACTTCATTTTAGGTATCTAAATATTAATATTAGCCCTCACAGAGCGTGGGGCTCATACCCCAGTACATAATAAATAAATAATCATTACTAATATTATAACTATTAATAATAATGACTTTTTTAGTCATAAGCATTTTCGGTCATCAAATTTAATTAGGTATTACTGGCATATTTCACTCCATTGGATGGATTTTACCAATTCCAAGAAGGATTTAAGAAGTTGATGAGAGTTCACACATTACAATAAAATCCATATTGTTTTTCTGCCCTAATTGTTACTCCTTTTTTCTCAAATTTATATAGGGAATCTTTCTTAACAGTTTTATAGTATGTTAATATCAACTTACCGGTATATATATATATATATATATATATATATATATATATAAACTTGATTTAAAAATTATGATTTACGTATTGACCCAGTTTACTCTTAATCATCTGGCTATGCATTTGTTTGTAGACCTTTTTTATTTAAGAATGAAGAACTGTCAAATAAATAAATGAATAGTGATAATTGGAAATACTACAGAGAGTAAGGTTATAAAAAGAATATCAAGTTCTCTCATTACCTACAGCATAATTTTGACCTTAAAACACATTTTGAATTTTTGTACATTATCTGTCAGTAGTGTATTACTGAATTTTCTCTAGCGTTGTACAGGGAGTTACTGAACTGAGGTCCGACACTACTAGTTGATGAAGTCATTGACTGTTGAGTTGTGTATAGATGAGGAACTTTCGTGGTTAAAAACTAGCGACAAATTGATTCAGTGATCTTATTTCCTTAAATGTTATGTCTAAAGATAAGCTGCAACGCAGTGGTATAAAAAACGTTTAACATATTCTATTCTCCTTAGCCCATATTTTTTTAATATGAGCCTGTTCAGTGTATTACTTCTTACTCTAGACAACAAGAGGATGGATTCAGTAGATTGGTTCATTGAGCGGTCATCCTCAAATATGTATCAGCATTTAATAAGCCTTACACAAAGTGCTACAATTAAATCACAAATAGATAGTGTTATTTTCATTATTATTGGCTGTATATGCCTATATATATATGTTAAAATCATTAGCCGATCAGTTTTAAACCATCATTAAAAATCCAGAAGCACTGGACGGCCGCTTCGTTCTGGTAATGGGACTGCTCAACAGTGTGCGTTCACAACTCCGCACGCGGGACTTGAACCTAGATCCTTTAGTCTCGCACGACCGTTCGACCTCTAGACCACTAGGACGAAACGGCTTTCAAATGCGTGTGAACAACATCTACGCTGTGTTTTCAAGCTTATTATTTATGTATTGTCTCTTGATTTTATGCATGAGTAGTAGTGGTATAAAAATTAAGGCTCTTAAATAGATTGTATTCAACAGTATCTAAGATTCTATTACTCTTCTTACGTTTTACTGCTTTTATCTTGATTACATAAATGTTGAATCGTATCAATATGTGGGTTATAAATTTCAGTGCTTCGTTTTCGTGAAGTTTTATTGGACTTTTCAATAAGTTTAAGCTTTTCTTATTAGTTTATAGATATCCTATATTTGTTATTTAGATATAGGATATATTATCCATTTCACTAACATAACTGTTTAGACATGTCATTTTGCGACCGTAGACTACAAGTTACGATGGACTTCAAAATTATATCCAGAATGTGTGAACTTTCATACAGAAACCAAGCAAACCGTCAGCTAACTTACACACCAGCGATATGACTTGATCTGGTAGTAGTCTGTTTTCCAGTCTACTTTGATTTTAATGTAGGTGGGGCTAAGCATACGTTGTATATATCTCAGCCACTACAGTTGGCATACATTTATAGAGTGATCAACGAGTCCACAAATTATATTACTCTTAGTTTTGTATGGAATTTTTGAAGTATTTCCTTCCTGGGTTTTCTACGAATCAGACTTTCCTTTTTTCCCTTTGGTAATGGATTTTATGCAAACGAACAATATAATTTGAAGTTGTTACAGTAGTACATGAATTTGACCGTGATCGTTCTTATTATGTTTACCAGGTGTTTTCCTAATCTTCAATGAGTTGCACTGACTGAAGCATCTCATAAATGGAGTTATTCTTATCTTCAGTCTTTTTTAAATAAGAGAAAAGAACGTGTTTAAATCCACATGTTTATATTCACTTACCATCTACTTATTCGTCATCCTTGGATACATAAAAGTTAACAGATTCACTGTTTCTTTGTATATGAAGTGTGGAACGTTCTCTTTTATGTCTGGAAAAAAATTAAGGAATTAAATTTGAATAATTTGGTGTTTTACTCTAACAATCGAATACATTCAGTTATAATCTATTAACTTGTGGTTTTCCTCTAAATTTAAGTCTTTTTAGTGGCAGTAATTCAAACTAGCCTCGATTGCTGTCAACAGTATTATTATTATCATTGTTTGTTAAAATCCCAGTATCAGAGTCAAGTTTATTATTTTTTATTACGACTGTTTGGTCTAAATGGTCTTTGTTATTGAGATCAATATCTCCTTCAGCATAACTCACTGATCGAGCATCATTTAGTTGCTTACTACCAATTTTCGGTCTGTCAGTTTTCCCTTTTGGTTTCGTATCATAATCTGAATTGGATCTAATGAAATGTGAAGGTCTCAAAAATTTGGAGGATGATGATGATGATAATAATAATGTTGACTTGTGTTTATCAAAGCAAGACGTATTAGTTAATGGTCTTTTTTGTAAATTTTGTTCCTCTATATAATTTTTCATATGTTTTTTATTGTCTGTACGACGTCGGCTAATTTCAAAGCATTTAAAGCATCCTTCAAATCTACTGTATTGTCTACGCATTATTACACGAATCGGTTCATTTAACCATCCATACAACAATGGATTGACACAGGCGGAACCCATTGCAAATAATTTTAATAAAAGATCAATAATTTTTATGTGTCTCCCCGGTATAATATTCATATTTGGTTTCATTAAGTCAATCGATGAATCCATTGTAAAATTTCCATTCATAATAGGTAGTGATTGATTCATTGTATACCATAGAAAGTCTTCACATGTTTTCAAACCAATAGAGTATTTCCATGTTTCATCCTCTTTGTGAATTACTTGTTGACTTGAATTGAATAGTCGATTAAATTTTAATAAATCATATGTACTTGCTGATGGTAAATCATTTTCAACATTTAATAAAGCTTGTACTTCTAATAATAATGAATATAAACACCATGGTGTCCAACAGATTGCAAAACAAACAACTGTTATTACTAATAAACTAGTTGTACGCTTTTTACGTTTTTCTGCTTCTTTACTAGCATTTAATTGACAAGGTCGTTGTTTTAATCGTCGATAGATAGCTAAATAAAATCCACCTGATGCACTTAAGGGTAATAGCACTAATATGACAAAAATGGATACAGAATAAGCAAATCGTAACTGTGGACTTGGCCATGATTCTACACAATAATGATATTCATTTAAACCTTCACTATTTACTTGTAATGCAACTGGTATTGAATTCAATGCACTAAATAATATGACAATAATAATTAGACCAAATGCTGCTTTCGGTGTTAATTGTGTTTTTAATGGATAAACAATAAGACGATATCTATCAAATGCAATTAATAAAATAGTTAGGCATGATATATACATTGGTATACCGAAACTACTAAATAATACTCGGCATAAATCTGTACTTGGTTTATGATTCTCTGTCATTTCATAATATAGTTGTATTGGCATACTCACTGAACACAAAAATATATCGGATACAGCTAAGCATAATACAAACAAATTTGTAATATTGTGCGATAATGTTTGTTTCCTAAATTTTATCAGGGCAAATATCAGAATTAAATTGAATGTTGCTCCGCATATTGTTAATAGAGTGTAAATACAAATTAGAAAATTACGCCAACTTGGTATGCGATGCGATGAATGCTCAGTTTTGCCTAGATCTGAAGAGAAATCAAATAATAATGGAGATTGTGATGTTTGATATTTCGGTTGATTTAATTGTAAAGATGTTGTCGGAATAATATGTGTTTTAGATGTTGGCAATTGATCGGATTTTGAATGAGTTGGTGAATTCGATATGTTGGCTTTATGATTGATTTCATCAATCCAATTATTTGTGAAAGTTTGATTCATATTTATAGTTGCACTATTCATCATAAGCATTGATGTGCACCTGAAACATTAAAAGAAATATAGATGTTCAGTTTTAACTTAATTTGAGTTCATGTAAATGTTAAACTGATTACAGTGTTGTCTATCCGTTCCCGTTAAATATGATCTACAAATAGAACTCGGTAAGTATATATGTATTTGTGAACTATGTGTGTGAAAGTAATTTTTAAATGAAGAGAATGCAAAACAATTACCAGTTCATTACAGGAACATTTAGTCAAATAAAGACCCTTTCTTTAGAACAATCTACACAGTCAAAGGAATTGGATCAAAGGGAGGTGGAATCAAAAACTTATGCACTGCTGAGGCACTAGCGATCCACCAACTCATTCCAAGAATAAATTTACTATCCAGTATCTACTAAAAACCATTTTTATCTTTTATATTTTTCAAATGATTACAGAACACAGCAGTTTATTGGTATAGTTAGATTGATACAAAGTGAAGTTAGCAGTCAAAACTTAAGAGTGTGCTATTTGAGAAGATATGGTTCATAAATTATCTTGACCCAAACTTTATCGCGAAGTTTTTATTCGTGTAAAGAATAAAATACAGGCTCAGTGCATGGAGTTGTTTTTTTATATGCAGTTCATGGTAAACAAACACGCTAAAAATGCTGGTATAAAACTATAAAGTCATATGGAATGTGGAATGATAGATTCCTAAATCCTTGCCATTGAAGGTATTTTGGGCAGTGTATTTTCTAGTAGTGGTATTTTATAACACTGTAATCTTCAGTGTTGGTTGACAGCTGTTATTAGTGTTTATGTTTGTGGTGAGTTGAGAGACTCAATAATAAGTTCAACTTGTAAAAGATGGTGGACTGAGATTATTAAAGCAACCTTATAATTCATCTAATATAAGGTCAATTTTTATACTTTCTGCCTCCCATTTCACTTCCTTTTCATTATTCAGTGTTGAATGAATAGACAAAGCGAAATAAAAATTATGATCTTATATTTATTTATGTTTCATTGTTGTTCAAACACTCATATACTCCAAATTCGTTTCTGTTGTTCTCTCACCATCTCTCAATATTTCAAATCATGAATTTTTGCTTGCAAAAAACCAATAAGCGATCAAAAACTTAATTTTTCTTTCAATCGCATAGTAATAACACTCGTCATCGACTATGTTATAGAATATCAAAATGTAAATAAAGTGCCGTATTTTGCTCGTGATAACTCCTTGATTTTTCTCTTTCAAGAAATGTTTCGATATTTCATATTCCTTCTAATTTCCGGTCAATACATTTTCATCAGCTGTACAAGCATGTACTTTTAAGTTGTTTGGTAATTTAGAAGGATGTATGAGAGGTGAGGATTAGGTTCCTCTTAATTACTAGATTGGATGTTCACCCATTCCACCTTACAAACTTCGTTTCTGGTCATCACGTACCATCATTATCATTCATACAAAAGCTATAACTTGTAGCTGAATTATGCACTAGGCACTAGAGTTACATTATATTCAGCAAAATATGAAGAGTATGAAAACTAGTATAATGTGATCATTCTTAGTTTACCAAACCTTTTTATTTTGAAACATTTTGTCATGGAACCTACCTTACTGTTAAATTTGTTACAGCTTTTTTGTTTCACTCTAATGCATCTACATACTTATTGTGGTATTCTGATTCTGGTTATTCAGTAACACGTTTACAGAGATCACTGATTACTGTTAACTAATATGTCTAGTACAGACTTGTATATTTGGCTTTTAGCTGAATTGTAAATGTGAGGTCTAGTAACACTATCTAATTGCCAAAATTAAATAGTTGGACAAGAGTTCGAACCTGTCACTTCGTGTCTCAAAGTCAAGTACCTTATCCACTGAACTACCGCTTGTAAATCACAGTAACCTACCGATGTTCTCCACAGGTTCATTACCACAAAATAGTAGTCAGCTTTGAGTCGAATTACCTAGTCAGAATTAAAGCCTTTTAAAATTTCAAAAGTAATAATACTCTGAAATTGAGAATTTCAAAAGGAGATCAAACTTTAGCTTCCACAAAATGATTGTAGCTCGAATCTCTTTTTTAAAAATTCGACTTGCTATTTGATTCAGATTTCTCATTAAGGCTACTACCAGAAACTAACTTTCAGGATGCAAAATTCAGTGAAACGCCTGTTAGTTAATTATTTCACATAAGCAAACTGTTATGTGAATACCTTGGAGAAATCTCTATCCTACAGACGCGTAGTACATATCCGAAAAAGACAGTATTATAATGTTGATCTTTGGTATTTTCTGTGTTTAGTAATGATGGGACATAAACATATAATGGCCTTATTTTATGCATCGCTGTCAATGATTTTGTAAGTTAAACGTGAATAGATAATACAATAAACTAAGTATTTTAATGAACATAAAGTATGCCGTTTTTGGCTACCAACATTAATTAATGTGAAACAACTTCATTTTTGTTTTCTGAAAATAGGTCTCATGTAAACTGTCCAAAAATATTAATTTTTCACGTTATTTATGTGTGTATACGATGTCATTTGAAAAATTCAAGGTATCTTTTCTGGTTTAGTAAAGAGAGGTATATTACATTCCCCTTCTTTTAGGGAACTATATTTAAACCGTAGATAAGATTCAGTTCTTTCCATTACATACTTTGTTATTTGTAATCACTCTACTCCAGTAACACATAACTCTCTGTTTCAGTTTTACATTTTTGATCGGGAATATATCTCTCAAAAATTTAATCACCCCGAATTTGTTTTCTCTACGTACCTCCGAGAATAAAGCATTATTAATAAATTTTTCTTATTGACACATTTTTTTATTTTATTTAAAATGGTTAACAAACGTCAGTATTGATATTAACCGATTATGTCGGTTTAAAATTTTTTTATTCTACTTGAATTATCGTTTCATTAATTATTAGTGACGTTGTCTTTTCTTGTTTTTTTTTTGTGTATTTCTTTATTTTCATTCCAATATCACATACACATATGGATTCAACATCTTTTTAATTGTTCCTTTTTTAAGGCCTACTTTGAGTTGGTTTTCTTTTCAAAACAATTCGTTTATTTTATGTGTATTTATTTTTGTTTTCAACTAAAAAAATTGCCTGTAGAAATAAATTTACTATCCTTTGTATTAATTGCTTGATAATGATTGTACAATGCAAATAGATTCAGTTAATTTGTCTTATATTTTTACGTAACACATTTGTTAGGTGTATTTTTATTGTCGTCGGCTTTTCATGTACTTATAGTGTGACGATTAGTTATGCTGCTTCGTGTTTCATTCCCGAATCTCATAATACATACAGATTGATAGTTTTAAATGCCGTAGTTTGAGATCGATTCCCAGTTCAGATGTTTTTTAATGGAAGGCTCTCTTCATCGAAATATTTCTATCTCTTCTTTGGAGAAGAGAAAAACACAAAGAGACAGTACTAGATTCTGCTTATTTTTCATACCTTAACGATACATGCGAATTGATTGGACTGCACGGCATAATTATCCAGTCGTTTATGTTCACTAACAATAAGAAGGTTGATAAACAGCAGTCCTAATTACGAATGTTTTATATTTCCTATATAAGTTGTTTATGTTCACGAAAACAAATGACAATTTTATATCATTCATGTTATTATAAGTTGCAATTAATTTTGTTTTGTTATATGTTATTATTTGCTTGTTTTTACCTTATAAGTATGTTTATTTACCTTTTCAAGAATGATATATATTATGCATGAAGAAATAAACAGTTATCATTGATGTCATGAAATATATCGTTATATTTATTGGGGATCGTAGAGTGTTGAGTTTTTTTAGTTTACATCATGGACTGATCTTAGCTAGGCAAGTATTTAAAACTAGGAAGAACTGGACAGCTGTTTCGATCTACCATGAGACCACTTAGCAGTACTCATCCACGACCCTACCAGAAATTAAACTCAGGACATTTTAATCTCGCGATGACGCTTAACCTCTAGACCTCTCAGCCGGCATACACTAGTGTTCATATCTAACTTTAATTCATTCACCGTATTCCACTATCTGCAATCTATAACTTTCTTACCGGGCATGTATTTATAGTAAAGGACTAGGTTTTGATAATACAATAGATCGAAAATACAATTATATAGGTATACCATAAAAGCACAAAGCTGTTATTATTCTCTGTACTATTTGAGCGTATGTACATTATTACCATCTTTTGCTTAATTACTGACAATATGCTTATATTTGAGCTATAAGAACTCAAGGTGTTTTTTGTTCTCACATCTTTTATGATAACAAATACTCATTTATAGTCTAGCTTAACATTTCTCAATGTGTTGTCTTCGAATATTACATTTCCACGATAACGATGATATTTTGTTACGATTTATGTATCTATCTGTCTTATTTACTTGTTTTTTATAGCCCCATTTTTCCGCAGTACCTTTATTTTGTTTGTCTAATTTATATCATGACATCTTTTCTTGTTTATTTGTTTGCTTTGTTTCTTCTTTCTATCTTCTCTGCTTCTCTCTCGCTAGTATTATTTTTCCTAACTAAATATGAATGAAGAAGAAGAACAAAGTACGCATATTAGATGATTTGATATCTTATTTCCGAAAAATAGAAGTTTGTATCTTGTTGATTGTTGTTTTACCTTAATAGTTTTTGAGAAAGGAGCAGAAAAATCCTACCATACACAATAACATTTATGCTTTAGAAATATGTAAAATTAATAGACTTGTCAAAATGCTTCAACTGCTTTCAGTTTCTAACTACTAGTTCGAGTTAAACAGATTCAAAGTATTATATTAGTTGTGCCTTTTAAAATATATTCGTGAAAAATCTCCAAGACACCGAAGCCATTGTTTCAAGTTGGTGACAATGACTGAATTAGTCACTTTGCCGAATCTTAACATCACTAACATAGTGTTGCCACTGGATGTAAGTGATCCCTCAAGACAATAATGATCGAACAGTGAAAGTTGCTTAACATCTCGTAAAGACCAGGTTTCACACAACTGGAGCAAAATCACTGTCA